GTCTCCAGAGAGACACCATTGCTCTTCAGCACTTTGGAGAGGTCCCTAACAGCAGACTTTCCCATGGCAATGCGACTTTTAATTTCCTGGCTGCTTGTTGGTATGAGGGTATAAATAGTTGGTTACTCCCCCTGACCCCACCATTGTTGGAATCTTCTGATCCTGTCTGCATCCAGATGCTTGCAGTACTACTTCCTTTGAATACGAAAGAATGAAGAATTATTGGTATCCTTGAATAATGGTGTTGTAGAAGGATAATGGCTATACCACTGACTTGCAGAAGGCCCAAGTCTGTTTTCAAAGTACAGTTAGAATGTTCCTTAAAAGGGAGGCTGTGCTTTGAACAGGATGGACTGGTCCCTAGACAAAGATACCACATTTTGTAGAGGATCAAAGGAAAAAATGGAAGGTTGAAGAGCAGCATAGACTGAGACAAGGATGGTGGGGAACCAAGCAAGGCAGTTATCTTGTTCTGTTGTACAAAGAGAGTCCCTTTAAATCCTGCCTCCACGGCTCCAGATAAATGGAAAAAACGGGTAGTTAGAACTCTAGATTTGGAGCAGGTCTGAATTCACTGCTATCATTTACTGCTGTGTAAAGGCCAGAGAAATTACATGAGAGCTGGACAATGACTAAGGCTGATAGAAGAAGAATCGATGCCTTTTGAGTTGTGGTGCTGAAGAATATCGAATATACCATGGACCGCCAAAACAACAAAAAGGGTCTGTTCTGAAAAGGGTGAAACCAAGTTGCTCCTTAGAGGCAAGGATTTTGAATCTCCATCGCACATAATTTGGCATAGTTGCCAGGAAAGACCTGTCTCTGGAGAAGGATGTCTATGTCTTGGGGGGGAGGGAGACTGGATGAGATGGGTCGACACAGTGACTGCGGCAATGGGATTGGGTATGTCAGATACGGTGAGACTGGATCAGGATAGGGCAGGGTTCAGAACTATTGCTCATAGGATCGTCATGGGTTGTAGTTGAATCCACGGCACACAACAACTAAGGCCAAAGGCTGGTCACTTCGATCTTTTCTTTCTTTCCTAGAAAATCGGAGTAATAATACCTACCTCATAGAGTTGTAAGGAATGTAGTGAGGTGATGAAAGCATGCTGTAATCTCTACTATACTGTACAAACATTACAAACGCTCAGCATTTTATTAGGAATGTCAGGGTTGGACCACGTGGAACTAAAAGCCTTTTCTGCGTATCCCAGCCGGCCAATTTTCGCGCTTCCAGGAAACGAGCGCAGGGCCCTCTGGGAGTTGTAGTCAGTATTTGCTCTAATCCCGTCTATGTCAGAAAGGCGAGGAGTCGGCCCCGGAAGTACTTGTAGGTTAGAACTAGAATGTCAGAGGTCGCGGGGCCAGTAGGCGTTCTTGTAGCTGGTCCAGTCGCTATGTAGTGGCGGGGCAGACACCATCCTGAAAGTTCTGCAAGACTCTTGGACTCGTCTAGGGCCGTAGCCTCTCAAGTTCTAGTTGCCGGCTTCCGGCCCCTGGCCGCTCACCGGAGCCGCTGCCGCCATGTTTGGCTGCCTGGTGGCGGGGAGGCTGGTGAGGATGGGCGGGGTATCAGCGCGGGGGCTGGAGAGTGGGGTGAAGCCGGTGGGTCCGGAGGGTGCGCTGGTCCGCGTGATGGGGGGCAAGCCTTTCATGTCCACTTTTTGACTGGTTGTGTAAAGGTGTAGCACGGTGTGCTCTGCCTTGCCCGCAGCTCTGTTCAGGTTCATTTGAATAATAATAATAGCATCATTAGCTGCCATTTGTCGCCTCTCATCCCTTAAGTATCCGGCGCTGACGCTCTGTGCTGTGCTCGCCTTTCTTTTGATTCGCTATTTAAGCCTTGTGTTTAAAGCTTATTTGTACCTTAAACTTCATCCTCATAACTCGATAGTTGGCAATTAATTTTCCCATTTTGCTGTGGAAGGGCTTGAGAGGTCAACAGTATAAATGAATACATGAGTTAGAAAACATAAAATTTGAATGTAGCTTTGTGTCTCTTGTTTCTCAACAGTTAATATGTTTGGGCAATCTAGAACATCTGAGTCTGTTTGTACTTGATGTGGTTGAAAGTGGACTAATAAAAAAATGCCTGAAATTCAATATAAGCCATACCTGGAACGACTCCAGAAAGAGACGAGTTGTTTCCTTTTATGTCGTAAGAGAGAATAACCTAACTTTCCAGATGCTAAGAATTAAGAAGTCACCTTGCGTAGTCGTTCATTTGAAATTTGGAGGGTGAATTACTCACATGCAAACAACTCATAAAAGCCGTTTCATACTTGATACTCTTAGAGCTCGTTCTTCCCCTGCCTTCTTGCTTTCTTAAATGTTTCAAGTGCCTTTGTTGGATTGTTAAAACTTTCACGCGTTTTTACAAGTGTATTATATTCTGGCCACAGTTTTGAGCAACCTCAAAGATTAATTAGAACGCCGTCTCAACTAACCTCATCAAGCTTTATCTCTTGAATGACTAGGAGACCGCCGGTGATAATAGTCATAATTGATAATCCTGCTGAGAATGCTGCTCCTGGTAAAAAAAAAAAAAAATGAAAGGACTAGTCTGGGAAGAAGTGTGGGACTGGGTGAGACACTGAAAACGTTTGTTTTTAAAGAATCAAAAGATTGAAGTCCATATTTTTTGGGGGGGTGCAGGGAAGAGTGCTGGATTTTTTTTTTTTTTTTGAGAGAAAGGAGGGAGGCATGTTTCACTTTTAATTTTTGAATTTTCAAGAAGGCTAATAACAATGACTGGTACATAGAACATTTAAAAACAACTACATTCTGTTACTAGAAAAAATAATATCCAAAATTATGAATCCAGTTTTCTATTCCCAGAAAATTCTATTTTGGAAGAAAAAAGTACATTGTTTTCTCAAGACAAGAATTAGAGTTCCATCATGCAGAGTTATAGCATGAATGCCTTGTGTGGTGTTGACACTTAAAATAGTTATTTTGTCTGAGTGTTTCAAGACTTGTTTAAACTATTTTTATGCTAAGTTCATGAACATGCAAAAAACTGTTGAGGATCAATTTAATGCATACAGAGGCCAGGTGGCTTATATTTAATATATAATATTCCTTTGATTTTATTTTTAATGCTTAAGCTGGAGATTTTAAATTGAGTCAGAAAACTTCAGAAAAAAAGAACCAGCACTTATCTTTAAGACTGTTCAAGATCTCTTGGGAATTCACTGTAGAGTGTTTGTTATCACAGTTAGCAAATAAGGAAGAACAAAATAGAACTCCCACTCATGGTGCTGTCCATCAAATTTCCAGTGCTCTAAATCTTTACAGGAGAAGACTGCTTCATTTTTCCTCTTTGGAGTGTCCAGTAGATTCTAGCCACCTACCTTCTGGACAGCATTCTAGCACTTAGCATGCTTTGCCACTAGAACTCCTTATAATAATTGTTATTATGTAACAGTATTATGTTTTCATTAGGTTTTCATCTTTGCAGTGGTAGGTGAGTTATTACAGAGGCCCAAAGCGCTCATTTTATTAGATACTGTTGATACTGTCGTATCAACTTGTGGCTCATAACAGTCCTTTGAATGTCAGATCAGAACCCTGCCCTATCCTGTGCCATGCTCATCATCTGTGCCACACTAGAGTCCATTGTTACAGTCACTGTGTCAGTCTGTCTCATTAAGGATCTTCCCTCTAATACTTGTTACGTGCTGTCAAGTCGGTCAAGAAGGCTGCGATTCAGTCAACCCTATGTACAGCAGCCCTGAAACCTGCTCTATCTTGTGCCAACCTTATTGTCTCTGACACACCTACCCCCGTTACCCCAGTAGCGGAATCAGCCCTTTTCACTAAGGATCTTCCTCTTTTGCACTGTCCCTCCACCCTCCTGAGCATGATTTCCCTCTCCAAGGACTGGCCCTTCCTTGCACCATGTCAAAAGTATGTCAGACGAAGCGTCAGAATCCTTGCTTCCAAGGAGCAGCCTGGTCTCACCCTCTCTAGGATGAACCTGTATGTTCTCCTAGCAGTCTGTGGTATATAAAGTACTCTTCTTCAGAACCACAGCTCAAAGGCGTCAATTCTATCATCCCTAGTCATTACCCAGCTTTCTGATGCATAGCACATAATTGTGAAGACCATAGCCTGTATCGGGTGCACCTTGGTCTCCAGATGGACACTGTTGCTCTTCAGTACTCTGGAAATGTCTCTGTCAGCAGACTTGCCCAATGCAATTTGTCTTTTAATTTTCTGGCTGTAGCTGCCAAAAGTGTTGACTGTTGAGCCAAGCAAACTGAAATTATTAAAAACCTCAGTCTCTTCACCGTTTATCATGATGCTCCCAGTCGACCCAGTGGTGAGAATCTCTTTATTTTCTTGATGTTGAATTTCAATCCAAGGCTGCAGTGAAAACTAGGCTAGATGCTGGTTGTGGAGCAAATCACTGACTACTCATAAGCACGTTCAAGCTGAGGAAGCTAAGGAAAGTTAAATCCATAGGAACCAAAATTTGACGTTTAGTCTATCCCACTTGAATTTCAAAACCATCTCAGGAACAGATTTGAGACCTTGGATACTCATGAGCAAAGACCAGATGAGTTGTGGGAGGATATCAAGAATATCATCCATGAAGAATGTAAAAGGTCATTACAGAGACACAAGGAAAAGACGAAGCATGTCACATGAGACTGAATATTGGACTAGAGTGTTGCAAAGCCAAAGCAAAGGGAAGAAATCAAGAAATTAAGGAGCTGAACAGAAAATATGAAAGGTCAGCACAGGAAAAGATTACAATAAAATACGCAGAAAGCTAGAGTCAGAAAATCAAAAGTGCCAAGCTCATTTGGCATTTCTTTTTTTAAAAAAATTTTTTTTAATTGTTGACAAAAATCACAGAACATTATTTTTATATTCTTTTTTAATTTTTTTTATTATTAATTTCAATGAAAATTTACAGTTGTTGTTATGTGCCGTCGATTCGCTTGCGACTCATAACGACCCTATGTACAACAGCCCTAAACTCTGCTCTGTCCTGTGCCTATCACACTGTCTCTGACACTCCCATCCCCATTACCCCAGTCACTGAATCAGTCCACCTCATAGAGAGCCTTCCCCTCCTGCACTGTCCCTCTACCCTAGGTCCCTCCTTACAACATGTCCAAATATGTTAGACGGAGCCTCAGAATCCTTGCCTCCAAGGAGCCACCTTGTTTTACCCTTTCCAGGATGAATCTGTTTGTTTTCCTAGGAGTTCATGGTACTCTAAATACTCTTCTCCAGCACCACAGCTCAAAGGCATCAATTCTCCCTCTATCTGCCTTAGTCATTGTCCAAATCTGATGCATAACAGGTGATAGCAAAGACCATGGCCTGTATCAGACACAACTTAGTCTCTAGAGAGACGCCATTGCTCTTCAGTACTTTGGAGAGGTCCCTAACAGCAGACTTTCCCAGAAAATTTACAGAGACTTTGGATTCATTCATTGTTGCCCTTTTCTCTCCTC